TACTAACCATTGTACTAACTGGGACTTGTTGAAAGCGTTAAGTTATGTTGCAAATATTATTGTCCTCGACATTGACTTCACACGGCAGCGGCTGGACCCTGACGGCGGGGTAACCGAGTCGAGAAGTCCCGTTCTTTGGGCCGAGCCGGCATAGAGGAGCAACCAGCCCGCTTTGCATACCCGCCTATTCGCACAGACACTCCTTCATCCCAACAACCAGCCCTGACTGCAATCTTCTGTATCTTTGCCAGACACAGACGCTACTTCCCCGTTTCGCGCAACGACACAATGTCCACTGCGACGCCCAACTACTCTGCCGGCAACGACCGATTTGGTGCCGAGGCGGCCACGTGGGATTCGCAGCCCGAGGTGGTCGAGTCGTCGCGACTCTGTCTCGACGCGGTGCTGCGTCACTCGGATCGCTTCCCCTCGCTCTCCTCCTCGAGTGTACTCGAGATCGGCTGCGGTACCGGCTTGCTCACGGTGCCTCTTGCCCAGCATGTCGGATCCATCCTTGCCCTCGACACGGCACAGGGTATGATCGACATGCTCTCCGCCAAGCTCTCCTCCAACGCGCTCCAGCACAAAGTCACCGCCAAAGTCAAGCTTCTCGAAAGCGCCGACGATCCCGTACTTGAGGCCAAGAAGTTCGATGTCGCGCTCAGCCATCTCGTCTTCCACCACGTACCCAACATGCAGCAGCTGGTCGACGTTATGTTTGGAACTCTCAACAATGGCGGCAGGATTTGGATCTCGGACTTTGAGGATGACGGGCCCCAAGCAGAAGCTTTCCACCCAAAGGCCAAGGTACGATTCCACACTCCACTCGTACCTGCAGATCCCAAACTGACCTCTTTGCTTCTTTCTACATCGACAGCATGCAGGCGTGGAGCGTCATGGCCTCAAACGTGACGAGATGCACAACATCCTCACCAACGCCGGCTTCACAAACGTCGAGGTCTTTGAAAGCTTTCAGATGCAGAAAAAGGTTGAGTCCGGAGAGACGCAGTCCTTCCCTTTCCTTGCTATCACAGGCGTGCGACCCTGAGCCTGTATCTTTGCAATGCGTAGCAAATATCTCGGGCTCGTCCATCTAGTACGTCTGAGGTGGGGTATCTGGACTCGACTCGAGCAGCCACAGCTCGCGTAGCGCCTCGACTGTACGGCCTCCGTTAGCCTTGAGCATCTTGTGGGCGTGCCATTGTTGCCTTTGGTCCGGTGCGCCGCGTTGCGATACCGCCTGCTGTACCGCCTCCCATCGCTCGAGCAGATCGCTCCAGAACGTCTCTGCCTCCTCGCCATCATTCCTTTCGGACCGAACGAGGCTTCGAACCGCAAGGTCCAGATCGACCGTACGTGCCAACAGATCATCGCGCACCGCAGCTGCCTCCTCCACCATGCTTCCTCCATCGCCATGCGACACGCGCAACAGTGCATGCACCACCGCCGTGTACGTCGTCAAGTTGGCCGGTGCAAAGTCACCCTGAGCCAGCACGGGTTCGGCTTCGTCAGCAGCCGCAGAGAGCGGCGAAATCGTGTTGATACCCACCGCACGCGCCAGGATCGAAGTCGTGTTGGTCCAGCGTTCGCGACCCTCGCGCGCAAGACACTCGAGTGCAATCGTCCACGTGCTAACACTCGGCCGCACCCCAAACCTCTCGGTCATGTCGCGGATCACTCCAAGCACCGCCTGGCTAGAGCCCCACACCTGCTTCTTCATCTGTCCTGGCATCGTCTCGGACTCCGTCCCGCTGGCTGTGCCGCTGGTGGCAACGTCGACTTCTAATCGAGCAAATGCGCGGATGAACCCATCGAAGGTACGGCTGCTCGGTGGTTGCGAGGGCGGCCAATGCTCGAATGCTAACGATGCGCTTCCATTGTCCTCGTGCTCGTTCTCGTTTTCGTTCTCTTGCTCTTGCTCGTGCTCTTGCGTGTGATTTTGCTCTTGCTCGCCCTCATGCTCGCTGTCAGGCATTCGCCTCATCGACGCCGTCTCTTTCCACAGCTCGTACACGCGTGTGAGACGAGCGTAGTCCTTGGCATCCATGCACACTCCCACCACGGCACGCAGTACCAGGTTGATGGCATGCGTGGATGGCCAGTATTTGCCCAGCAGCCGTCGAGCGGCCAGCTCGTGTCCCGATCGCTCCGATGGCGGAAGGCCCGACTGAGCGAGTGCAAGTGCGATCAGCTCGCTGGTGATGCCTCCCGCCGGCATCTTGAAGCCGTTGCTGCCAACGTAGAAGTCCAGCGCAGCCTTCCACTTGGCCTTCTTGACCAAGCCGTACAGCGTAGCCGTCTCATACAGGCCCTTGCCACCACGCACTGTAAGCAGACGTTTTCGGACGGGCGACAAGAATTTGTCTGCTCCCACGGCCTCCTGCGACGGGAACGCTTGAGATCCATCCGTCGTGCCTGCGGGCCCAACGTCGCTCTCGGTCAGCGACACCGTGATGGGTACGGTGCCATAGCTGTACGCCAAGTCTTGCAGTCTCGATAGCGTGCGCGCCGATGGCAGATGCGCAAAGACAGCCGCGTCTTTGGAGCCGGGGGCATAGTCTTCTGGCATTGGACTGTCGTCGGTGCGACGCACCTTTTCCGCACTCCGCAGCACAGAGAGAAGGTGCTCTCTCGCAGCAAATACATCGCCTTGATCAAGATGCGTCTGCAAGATGGCATCCAGTCTTGCCTCTGGTTCGGCCTCCGTATCGACACTTTCTGCTTCCAGTGAGGATGCAGTCTCGCGCGCGATGCGCTTGGCGATCCCATCCACATTAGCCAACTCTACCGCCCTTCTTCCGCGTTTCGAGCTACACGCAAGCAGTTCGGCCAGCGAGTATGCTTTTTGGACGTACTCGCCGCCGGCCCGAAACAGCTCCTCGAATAGCAGCCGCTGCGTGAAGTTGGACGTGCTGACAATGTGCGCGACGCCCTCGGCGGTATGAGATGTCCGCGCACTGTGCTGTGCCCAGGAGATTGCATCGTCTAGGCGACCTGCGAGCGCAAGTGTGCGAATGCCGAGGTTGTAGAGAGCACGCAGCTCGAGGTGCGCTGGCATCAACTCTTGGCGTGTGCTGCGTAGTCTCCGCGCCCTTTCGCGTCGATGACCGAGCACCAGTTGCTTAAAGTACTGCCAGGCCAGGACGGAATGGGAAGCATCCGAGCCGTACGTTCCTCCGATACCGTACCGCAGGATCTGAGCCAGAGACGACCGGATCACGGTCCAGTGTCCCTTTTCTGCGGCTATGAGGCTCGCCTGCTGCAGGAGTTCCAGTTCGTCTCCGTAGCCTTCGAGGAGTACCACAAAGCACTTGAGAATATGGGACACAGTAGGATCGTCTTGGCCAGCGTAGGAGACGCTGGATTCTGCCTCGACGCCTCTCTTACTTGGCGTGTACTCGGGGCAGAGACGCATCCAGCTGAGCATGTCGTGCCTCCGGCCACGCTTGATCGCCCACAATGCCGCGACGGCAAATTCGGGCAGAGGCTCGTTGAGAGTCGTGCCCAGAGACTGGAACTGGTATAGCGCTGTTGAGGCTGCCTTGAAATCCTCCTCCTGGATTAGCCGTGCTAGCAGCTGGGTGGACGGAGAGAGGGCCGCAATTGACTCTCCTGTCATGGAGGTGGACGTATCCTGGCCGGCGCCGTCCGCACTCTTGATCGATGTGGACGACGATGCTTGTTGGGCGTAGACCTCATCTTCAGGCTCGAAAAGGGAAAAGTCGACTCCGTGGGGATCGATCTCGTTGTTGGAGCCGGGCAGGGGATATGCAGGGTTGGAGGTCGAGTAGGCGAATGCGAACAGCGGTCTTGGACGTCGAGCAGATCTGACCTTGGTCGGGGAAGACGGTGTCGCTGAGAACGTGAGTCTGAGAGGGAACAAAGGAGAGTTGGCCGATGACGTAGATGCGGTAGCTGTAGAAGCGCTGCTGGCGCTCAAGGCGGCCGAGCTGAGCAAGCGAAGCTGGCGCTGTTGGTGAGCCAGTGCTCGCCAAGCATCTCTGGCGGGCAGAGAGCTGTTTGGTGGACGCATGAAGGCGTATCCAAGCCTCCCATTCGGCCTGTGGTGCCGGATATTGAGGCCTGAATGTGCCGATGGATCCCTTGGTGGGCTATGGTGACAATCCAGAAGAGAAGGTGAGGAGGGCACATTGCGAGGAAAGGGTCTGTCAGAAGAAGTGAGGTTTCGAGAGCCGAGTTCCGGCAACATTATTTTAAATAATGTTACACCGCAATATCAAACAATACAAAATCCGCAGAGCGAGCTCTAAAGCTCGACGCGGCGACATCGAAGTTCCACGTCAACTTCGGCCACTTCCACACTGCGGGGACTCGCAGGGGCCGCCTCCATCTGTGCCTGGCTAAAGCGTACTCTCCACATCCTCAGCAGACCTTCTCCTCGCACCTTCACCACACCCTTCTCATCCGCTTCGGATGAGCCAGTGGAGGCATCATCGCCATGACGCTCGCGAGTCTGAGGTGGACATGCAGCCTGCTGCTGCTCGCCACCGTCCTGCTCGGCAGCTGTGACGCCGCGCTTTTCTCCAAGAACTCCAAGGTCACCATCATTGATGCCTCCAACTTCAAGCGCGAAGTGCTCGACATCGAAAAGCCCACCATGGTGGCCTTCACCGCTCCCTGGTGTGGTCACTGCCAGAAACTCGTCCCCGACTACACCAGGGTCGCTGCACAGCTGGACGGCATCGTCAAGCTCGCCTCCATCGACTGCGACGAGGACAAGAACAAGCCTACGTGCGGAAAGTACGGAATTCAGGGTTTCCCCACCCTCAAGCTCTTCCCACCGACCAAGAAGCGTCTCCCCAAGGACTACCAAGGTCCCAGGACCGCCAAGGACATCGCCGCTTACATGGTCGATGCGCTGCCTATGGGCGCCAAGAAGCTCAAGGCCGAGGAGCTGCAGGAGTACGCAGAGAACGACGCCACCACGCCCAAGGTCATCCTCTTCTCCAAGAAGCCCACCAGCTCGCCGCTGTACAAGAGCCTTGCACTCGACTTCCGCAAGAGTCTATCGTTCGCCTTCCTTCGCGGCGACCAGCGTCCCGTTCAGGCCGCCGCCCGCATCCACCTCGGCGTCGATGTCTCGGATGACAAGCTGCCGCTCCTCATTGTCGTGCCCTCACGTGCCGACAGCGACGACTTCGACAAGGCCTCCATCAAGACCTACACGGGCCAGCTCAAGTACCACGAGCTCAACGCATGGATCAAGCAGGCCGTGCCAGAAGCCAAGTCCGGCAAAGCTAAGAAGCCCGCCACCAAGGCGCAGATCAAGAAGAAGCCCGTCAAGCTCGACCAAAATGTCGACGATCTTCCCGAAGGCGCCAACCGAGAATGGCGTGTCGAGGAAGACATGACGGAGGAGGAAAAGCAGAAAAAGATGGAGCAGCTCGCCGACATGCTCAACACAGCCATCAAGCAGAGCAACGATCTCAAGGAGGCCGAAGCGGACAAGTCCGCCAAGCAGCCCGAGCAGCCGGCGAGCAGCGATGCCGACTCGTCCGCCCATGCTTCAGGCTCTTCGCACTCTTCGTCATCTTCCTCCTCGTACTCTTCAACCACGGACGAGGATGGTCAAGTCACCACGGACCGCACCGCATCCTACTCGACTTCGGGCGATGACGACGACTCGGCATCGTCCTACAAGGTCTCCTCCCACACCCAAGGCAAGGACGGCGAGGACATGTCGCTCAAAGAGAACCTGCAACGCTGGCTTGAGGGTGAACAGGTGGACTGGTCGTCCGACTATGCGGACCACTTTACGTCCGCCCAAAAGGCGGCCGAACACCTCATCAAGGAGGATCCCGAAAAGGCGGAGCAGATGGCACTCGAGAGCGAAAAGTGGCTGGCACAGTACCTCGTCTCGGACCTCGAAATGATGAAGCTCGCGCGCGACAAGGGCAACGAAGACCCCGCCGTCTCCGATGCAAAGATCGAGCGCATCCAGAACATGTACGACGAGATCAACAAACGCATCGAGGAGCGCCAGAACAAGGTCGCAGCAAAGGCTTCAGCTTCTTCCGACGACAAAGCAGCCTGGAGCCACGACGAGCTCTAGTGTCCATCTCGTCTCATTTTCACTCGGTGGCAATTCCATCCGCATCAACACAACAACACGCTCGTTCCGTGAGAAACCACCTTTGAGTTGTTGCTGGTCTCGTGCACACTGAGGGTGACACATGGTATCAAGCTAGAATAGCCAATGTTTCCGAAGCCACCAGAGGTATATGCCCGGCTATACCGGGAACTCGTTTGCTAAAAGATGAGAGGATGAGGCTTGTTCACATGGGCGAGTGGTTGCCCTTCTTGTTGCGATGTCCTCCTGGGTTGTGCTCGACGTACGGGCCGTTGCCAACCGCGCTGGCCTTGCGGTACGAGTGACAGGCGTGTGCGTGCTTGAAAAAGGCGGCAAAGTTGCGGCGGCGCTTGGCAGTGCAGATGAGGATCCACTCTTTGCACTGGTGGCACTTGCCTTCCACGGTGCCGGCCGCGTCCGCGTACACCTTGAGATGCGTAGGAGCCGTGAAGCGGAGGCCCGAGACGGACGAGATGCCATGCTTGTGCACCTGATCGTACCAGTACTGCGAATTCTTCAGTTGCAGCCAGTTTCCGTTTTCGCAACGGTCGCACCACGCCTCGCGTGCGTTGCCGGCACCGCGCACCCAGCGCGGCGTGTACAAGTCGCCGGGGAAGCGCAGCTTGTCCGTCTGCCTGCGCGGCCTGTCGTCCTCATTCTCGACCTCAAAGTCCGAGGCGGGCGGATCGGGCATGCCCGTGCGCATCTCGCAGTGCTGGTCGTAGTAGACGTCCTCCATCTTGCTGCCCGGGGGCGCACGCAGCACGATATCCGTGGTGATTTGGTACGGCGTGTTGGCGAGCGTGTTGGCCTGCTGCACTGCGGACGCCGACGACGACGATCGATCGCGCTGCTGGCGCTTGTCTCCTCCTGCCATTCCGCTCGGCGTAGGGTAGCCCGCCTCGATGCCGTAGCGCATGGGCGCGTGGTCGCGCCAGCCTGGGAGGCTCGGTGACGAGGCCGAGGCACTCATGCCCGCCGGCACGCCCGAGTGCGACGAAGCTCCACCCCATGGACTCCACTGCTGCGACGACGAATAGCCCGCGCGCTGCGGCGCCGGAGCAGGCTGCTGGACGTTGTACGGATCCGAAGGCAACGATGGGCGGCGAGGATCGGCGTGCGGAGGGCGGTAGCTGTTGATCGCATTGCCTACCGGCGCCGAGGGTCGAGAGAAGGACATGTTGGAGGCGAGCGAGTATCTGCGCGCGGCACCGTCGCTTCCATCGGCAAGATTGCCATGCGACGACGCGCCCATGGTCTCCTCGTCGTACTGGCGCTTGCCTAGGCTCGACTGCGGAAACTCGTAGCCGCTGATCTCGAAGCCTCCCGAATTCGACCAGCCGGGTCGGAGAGCCGAGCGCGTCTCGGGAAGCGGGGGCGGCTGGAGCCTGCGAGCGCCGTAGTAGCTTTGCGCCGAAGCCTCGTCGACTGCATGCGACTCGGCGGGCCACCACTGAGCACCGTTAGAGGTTTCGGCGGGGGGATCGAGCGGACGACCGTGCTGATAGTTGGGTCTGCGTGCGTAATGACGATCGGCCAAGGCCGCCGCGTCCGAGCCGACGCGCGATCTCGACTCTCCGGTCGGTCCCGCCATACCGGACGGAGCTGGCACGCTCGAGTACGACGGAGAGTGGTCCGTCTGAGCATGATGGCCGTCCTCAGCGACGCCCGAGTAGGAAGGCATGTGAGGTTGTTGCTGTTGTCCTTGTTGCTGCTGATGCTGTTGCTGCTGCTGCTGCNCCGTCTGAGCATGATGGCCGTCCTCAGCGACGCCCGAGTAGGAAGGCATGTGAGGTTGTTGCTGTTGTCCTTGTTGCTGCTGATGCTGTTGCTGCTGCTGCTGCCACGTTGGCTGTGAATGGAGAGAGGGAACCTCGTACTGTCCCTGAAAGCCCATGGTCATGGTGACGGTCTCGCGCGGAATGTCCCAGATGGAGGAGGCCGCCTCGACGTCGGACGGACGCGCGGGCTCAAGATGGTCCCCCTTGGTGGCAGCGGGCGCGGCCATGGCACGCGGCTTGTTGTGGGGTGCACCGGTAAGGCTGGGCCAGATGCCCTTCATGCCGTCACCCCAGAGATGCGAGCCGTCTTCGACGGGGCGTGCGTGGTGCGGGTTGTTGGAGTGTGTATGTGCAGAGTGGTAAGAGTCGGAGGCCGAAGCATGTTCGTGCGGCATGGCAGAGGGATTCGATCGGTGGCTGGAGGACGAGGAGGAATGCGCGGCGGACATCGTGCTGCGCATGGCACCAAGGAGAGACTGCCCGTCGATAGGGCTTTGTGGCTCTTTTAAGCCGCTGGAACGCGAAGAGATTGAGTGCGGGGAGGAAGGACAGGAGGCCGGATTGGAAGATGAGGCGAACGAGTTTCGACCGCGGCCGGCAAATTCCGTAATGAAGGTGATGGGAGGAAGGATGTTGTTGTTGTTGTACAGCGGTGTCGAAGAGGAGGGGGAGGTAGAGGAAGAAGATGACGATGGCGTCCAGGAAGAGGGATGTTGGTCTGGGTGGTATCTATGTGCGCGAAGCGAGTCTCTTCTTTGCATAGCTAAGAGACAAGTATGGCAGAATGGCGGTCGGAGAGGAAGCCGTTCGTCGGGCACAGCAAGTTTCTAGACGGATAGCAGATGTAACCGAAGCGTCAAAGACCTCGAGCCGGGACGAGAGCGGGACTGTCGAAGGAGCGTGAAGGACGGTGGGGAAGCTGCTGCAAACCCTGTTGGAGCCTAAGAGCCTAGAAGCGGAAGGACAGATATGGTCCGGAGTCTGAAGAAGCGATCGCGATCAAGGGAGCAACAAAAGATGGGTGGATGGCGGGGCATGAGGGATTGCGGCCCTTTGTCAAGTCGCCTTTAAAGGCGGAGGCGGTGGACTCAGCTGCTGGCGGCAAGGGCAGCGGAGATGAGCGAGGCTTTCTGGGCTGATAGGGCCGGGCCGCGGAAGTGTGGATTGTGAGGGCGTGGTGGATTGGATTGGATTCGATTGGATGCAGTCGACGGGGTTTGGGCCAAGTGCCGAAGACGGCTGCCGGGCAGAAGCCAGGTTCGGAGTCGCAAGGGCAGCGAGGGTAGAGCGACAGTGGGTCGCATCGATGACCCAAGAAGCTGGAGGCGTGGACGGCGG